ACACAAAGAAATTTCATTTTAATCCATAAATATTGGATATAAAATGTAATTAGAATAATATGTTTCTTGTATTTATACTATATAGTTTGCATCTTTAGTGTTAAAATGACCCTGGGACGTTGCTATGTTCTCTTACAGGTAATTGCTTTACTTTGATACTTTGATACTTTGAGCATGAAACTTGACTCATAAAAGTCTGATTCATAAAAGGAATATCACTAGTATCATATATAAAGAAAAACGTCCAGGCTTTGTTTAACACATTGAAAATTTGAATCTTCGAAGTTTGATTTACGGAAGTCTGACAGTATGTATATGTATTCTACCCACCTAAGATTTGGGCCAGCTTGAGGTTTCCATTGCTACAATAATGTATTAATCTTTTACAGGAGAATGTAGTCTTGCTGCTACCAGTATTTGAAGAGTTTCTCGCTAATGCGCCCAACACCGCCAGTAATGACGCAGTACGACAGAGCATCGTCATCCTTATGGGTTCACTAGCCAAGCATCTGGACAAGAACAACCCCAAGATCAAACCTATAATGGCCCAGCTTATTGGTGCACTGTCTACACCGTCCCAGGAGGTAGGTTATTCCTCAAAGTATATAGAGTATTCCCTTACAGGAGTCGGAGACAGATTATTCCCAAGAAGAACATTCTTCCATACATTAAAACATATTTGCGTTATTTTGCTTCAAACTAGAATTTGAAAATGAGCAAAATGAATGACAGAAGAAGGAATAAATGCAGTTATGAAATAACAAGAGGTTAGCTATCTAGCAATGTTGTGATGATAAGCAGTAGGTTCCTTTCAGTTCAAGTAACATACAATTTGTTGCAGATGATAGCTATTGGCCTCTTTTAATGGTCTTATCAATAAAGTCTTATATGGTTATTTTCATTTGGAACTTGATATGAAGATGTTATGTTAATTGTGGAATTATAGGCCTGTTTTTTACTGTTTTTACTAAGGTACAAGAGGCAGTGGCCCATTGCTTGCCTCCCCTGGTCCAGGGAATCAAACAGGATGCTCCAGAGCTTGTTCAAAAACTGATGCAACTCCTTTTGGAGTCTGACAAATATGGAGAAAGAAGGGGAGCAGCATATGGACTTGCGGGGCTCGTCCGGGGTCTGGGGATCACTTCCCTCAAACAGCTCGAGATCATGTCCACATTGGAGGAAGCTGTCAAAGACAAGAAAAACCCACGACGACGGGAAGGTCAGTTCTGTTGAGGTCTCACAAGAATAAAGACAAAGGTTATTAAGGTATAGGGATGGTAACCCCGCAGTTAATAAGCAGGAGTTGCAGTCTCGCACAAATATGTACATCCATGTCATAAGAATGGTTAGAAAGATAGAGATTTTAGTCTCGCAGTAAATAACTCATGTCACAGGAATAGTAAGAAATGCTGGGATTGTTGTCTTACTTTAAAAACATTGAAGTTTGAAGCTTAAAAGGTAAGAAAAGTAGAGATTGTTCTTGCAGTAAAGATTTTTTCTGTGCTATGAGTGGTCAGAAATAGTATATTTTTGTCATAAATACTCCAGCTACAGCAGTGATATTAAAAAAGTTTAATTTTCATTTGAGATCATATTTTTTTCTTCACAATAATGAATAATGAGTGTGTTTGGTGTCTACCAGGTGCCCTGTTTGCCTACGAGATGCTGTGTGCTATGCTGGGAAAGCTGTTCGAGCCGTATGTGGTGAACATTCTGCCCCATCTCCTGCTCTGCTTTGGTGACAGCAGTCAGTACGTCCGTGAGGTACGTGTCAATGCATTCTGTTAAGGATCCCCCTACCACTGCCAGAAACTGTAACCAAGTTTTGGAATGTTTTTTTCCGGCACGACAGTAGCTTTAATAAATCATTTCTGATAAGAAAACCATACCTTTTATGAGTAAAAATTCCGGGATTCGAACCGTGGACTTGTTATTGTTAGATTGTTATACTGTCTCACCAACAGATTGAGCTAACCAGTTGACAGAAGTGTCCTTTCAACAAATGTGCTACAGTTA